TTGATAATGGCGCAAGATGCACCGAAACGTCAGTTTCTATCACTTATATTTCTTGTCTCGTGTATTTCCAAATCGTTTCTTGTAATAATAACAATAATAATAATAATAATGATAATAATAATAATAATAATAATAACAACAATAATAATATAGCAAATGGTTTGAACCCAGAAATATCAGTGGTTCGTGCTCTACTGCTTCCTGCGTGCTTTAAGAGCACAGTCCAGGCTTCTATATTTGTTAAAGATATGTCGCTCAAGGTTAATTTTTTTCACATTCGATAGTGATGAGGGGTCGTCGAAATGTCATGGAACGCTTTTATCATTTATTTTACTATAAGAAAGACAGTTATGACGATTCAAGAAAAACATAACAGAATACGTTAGCCACAAAGTAGAATCTCAACGAGGAACGATAGAATGTTTAATATTGTTTCTTCAACCGGGCCAAATCAACAAAATAAATTATCAACGGAACGTTTTCCAAAACATTGAAAATATTCCAAGTTAAAGTTGTGTAAAAATTTTAAGGTTTTTCCGCTCCATAGTTAAATTTGGGGCTATATACATACAATATGACAACTATTTTTTTCCAAATAAACACTTCGATTTCAATAGGCGCCGGGGTTGGAGTAAGCACAAGACTGAAGGAATTATCATAAATCTACATTGTTCTCGTCCTAGAGCCCTTGCTTTATAACATACTAGCAAGCAACACGACAAATTCAATGACTAATTACATAGGCGTTATCTGTTAATCAAATTTCATTGTTTTGAAGAGGAAACTGGGAAGCAAAGAGAGGGATAACATATGTTTCACAGAACGGTAGCCATACAGTTTGTATTAAAGAACATGCCTAACAGGAGATAACTGGGCTTGAATAGGCCAATTTCAAGTTGCCTTTTGCCTTTATGCCAAAACGAGTCCTCGTTCAGTTTCATGGCAATCAAGGTTTTACACGAGGACTCATTTTGAAACTGAGGCACAAGGGGCGCTTTCCGTTTAACCTAAAATTCCAAAAATTTCGAAACAGTGACAAATGGTACGGAAATTTCCAGGGAAAGTTTCCAGAAAATCCAGAAATTGTTGAATTTCCATTCAACCGGAAGTCATGAAAATTCCGGGAGGAAAATCAAATGGAATAGAAATTTCCGGTAAGAAATTTGGGCATACCTCGTGAAACTGTATTCCATCCCTGAAATTCTAGAAAATGTTCTATTTTCTTCTTTCTTCTTGGAAACTACCGTAAATGCAAAGCAGAATTTTTCATCGAATGGAAACCGCCTAACTCGGAAATAACCTATTCGAACCGCACATACGATCTGGATAAGTACTCTTTTCCTCAATACAATTATATACTTCTTACTCAGGCTGTTGGTCAAATCGTTGAAACTTTCTTATATTGAGCCTCTGTGCTCCCCACCAAGCCAGGGTTTCAGGACATCCTTGGATGTCAGGCTCCTCAAAGGGTTTTGAGTCCCCTCGTAAGAAATGCAAAAGTGGTACAGCCAAAATCCATTCAGGATTGGATGTCCAAGCGTCCTTCATCAACTGGTTACAAAGGCTTTCAATTGCACTGGCGGCGAAGCTAATCAAACATAACACTGAACTTAAAAATAATAAACAAAATTAAAATGAAGCTAACTTCTTAATGTAATCCCATTCTTTACGATAGTTCTTCATTCGCCAACTGCTGGGCGGTTCACAAACACAAACCAGCTTTTTTTGGAACCATTAGATTATAAATAAACTGCAGGCCTCGGTGCACTAAGTCACGCACTTTTTGCGTATATATACAAAATCAATCTCACTTCGATTCTCGGGGACTGTTCATTTTAAAAAAAAAAACATAGGGGGCTGGTGGGATTTAATCGGTACAACTAATTAGTACACTAATTCGTACTTTTCATATCACTCAACACCGCAATTTTATCTGATATTATTAAGTTTTGCTTTACTTTGTTGTTTTTTGGGGGATCATCTCAAAAATTTAGGATTACGAGGGGAGGGGAGCGTAAAAATTTCTGATAAAGAGAGGGGTCATTACATATTAAATAGACTATCTATCAAATTTTAAAGCAATATTTTACAATAAAGTTAAAATCAAACCCCGCAACTCATTTTGCATCTTCGTGGCTATTCTCTATCAAGTAACCACATGCTCTCTTAGAGGTCGTTTGCGGTTCTAAGGTGTTTATACATCTTCATAAAAAGTAGTAAGCAACCAGTAATAGAGCCTTGTATATAGTTGCCGCACTTAGAGAATATGTTGCGTTTAATCCAGCACTTTGATCCAACTACCAGTAATGTGTATTTTACAGCGTACTAATTGTCATGTCCCTCAACATGTGGTCGCAAAAAAGAAGTATAAATATTCATAAATTTTCCTCATCATAAATTATTTTACTGTGCAATCTCGCACATGTTACTTACTCTTTTAACTCGGTGCTAAATTCGGCCAGCACAGCTTCATAAGCAGAACACCTCTTCACGGTCGGATCAGCTTCAAGTGATAAGCAGTTCAGCAACAATTTTACCTTCTCGCTTTCCAATTCTATCGTGTACTTTTTTACCAGCAATGTGATGGCGAGCGAAGAAACTACTGCAGACACGTGCTCAATTGATCCCACCTTACATTCGGTCAATATGGCTCTGTTCTTCTTCATCTTTGGTTCCAAAACAACAGTTAACGCCTGCAAAATAATTCAAATATTTAAGTACTTAGGTACAGGTCAGTAGATGGCTGTGTTACTATACCCTCAAGGAAGTGTGAGGAAGAGATGACATCGTAAAAGGTGTAATTTGAGTTACATACCGAGTAAAACACATACTGAACTCAAAATAACAAAGCATGTCAAGTGCTACACGTTTAACCGAACATGATCAGGTTTCCAACTGCTCCGCTTACAACGGTTTGGAAATAATTATGTCGTCGAAACACTGACGCCTAAAGCGATATATTAATCAAAATTTTAAAAATCACAAGATGATTAGTTCTCACTTCTGGTTAGAGGGAGTAAATGTACCGTTGTCAAATAAATTACCTTTTGGACATCAAAATCAATGGGTTGCCTTCGTCGATGGCGGCCGCGTTCTTCTATCCAAACGTTATGCAGGCATTTCACAACATTGTCAAGTTTCACTATCGCCTCTTTGGCATCCATGTTTTCAGTTGTCTCGTTTACAAAAAAACCACTCCACTTTGGTAGGAAACATAGCAACGCCTTCACGCGATACTCAACCATTTTATCTTTCGAGAGGCAAGGCCACATTCTGGAAAACATGTCTTTGTCGCCGTAAACGTACGCTACACCGTCAAACTGATTCCACGAGGCTGTAATGAAAAAACAAAATACCAAGCCACCATTTAAAAATAACTACGAACTATTGTTCAGCTTCAAAGACATGAAAGCTAGGTAATAGGAAAAAACATGTTGACCTCTCATTGGGAGGATTTTCCAGAGGTGGATGAATGGGTTGAAAATTTTCAAGCTACCTTTCAGTGGAGTAGTATAGGGCGGGGTGCGGAAAGAAGAACGCCGCGATGGACTACGTAAGGTCCTGCATACTAATATGGATTTCCCTTGACTAGTTAACTTATTATTTCTAAGGTCTTTTAAAGCTCTAAATCTCCGATAATGCATTTCTTGGGAACTGGCCAAAACAATTTTACATACCAGGGACCCACATTTTGGAGGGGGCTAGGTAACAGCCCATGGGTCTCCTGACAGAAGTGGGGGCTACTTAAGAGGCCATGGGTCTCCTGTCAGCAAATTCTGAGGGCGTGTTTCCGCCAAAGAGGCAGCCTAGCTCAGCATGGTTGGAAATGTTTTGAAAACCCATATGTATGCACTTTCGCACTTACAAAGCAATGCTTATCAGGTATTCTATTAATGTATGTTGCATTGAGCATTCCCATTGTGTATAAAATAATATGCATGAATAGCCCTGGTGTATTTATATAATAAAGGCAACCCTCAGATTGTACATGGTGTAATATTATTGTCTTCTTTTCTGGTCAAGTTTTATAATCTTGAAACAATAACAACTTGTATCTTACTCACGTCCCCAAAAAAGTTCTATCTTTCTGGTTCCTTGCTATTATTGATATACATCCTTAAAATGTGAAATACATGTAAAATGCCTGTAAGGAAGATCTTCAAATACTCATATTTAAATCCAGGAATGATATGTTTCTTTACCACTAGATTGTCTAGTGCGATATATGTAGTAATGCACAACCGGGTTAAATGAGTTGGGGGACTGAGAGTCAGTGAACTGAGCGTCTTTAATAGCATCATTCATACAGATAAATTTACTGTATTTAATAGTTAAAAGATGTGAGTTAAGTGCTAATTAATTAACTAATGTAGGCAATTCTTGATTAAAAGGGAAGAAATAACATGTAGACTTTTTTGACTGTAACAGAAAATTTTATTAATATCATACTGCAAGAAATTGCAGTTGTTATTGTTTTTGGAGAATTCTTTTCTGAAGTGATATATTTTTAGAAATTCATGTGTCTACATTGGAGTAAGAACATTAATTAAAAGAATGGAGTAATTGCAGTGCTAAAACGTTTGTTACCATGGCAAGTTTTCAAACAACCACGCGCGGAAAAAGTTTTCTCGTAAGGATAAGTTTGAGGCCGATCGTGATACTTCCCAATTTAAAGGTGTACTTTTTCTGCAACACTCAATTTTGTGATACTGCAATAATTATGTCTTTTGAGGTTCTCTAATTTAGTGTCTTGCAACCAAGAGGAGGGTGAGGAACGTTTCGCTGCTAATTAACAATATCATCTGGGAATATAAATTTCTTTATCATTTGCAGAATCCCAGCCCTGAATATTCTAAGTAGGGCACTTTATACATGTATTAGAAATGTCGCTTGTATACAAAATGGGTCCGCAATGCGTACTTGTGAGCCTAAGCTTAGTTTTATTCCATTCGGTTGGATTTTGTTTTTAAAAGTCAGTATCTGAGAGTTTAATTGCTACAAGTGACAAGGTAATCACTGCAAAGATAAAGGTGATACTTTGAAACTGGAGACTTTGTACTCGTAGTAGAAAACTTGTGGCCCCTTGGTCGCATCCTGGAAGTAAAACCAAACAAGAGAGACGGGCTTGTGAGGAGAGTCA